TCTCAGACGCTGTCTCCCCGACAGACCTGGTCTTCACCTGAGGACGGCTGCTTGCGTTGTGGCCGAAACGTCGTGAGAATTATTTTATTATGTTTTATTTTATTATTTTATTACTTCCCTTCTACTTGACTTTACCAAAAGAACCAAGAAGGTTAGATTATTTAGTTTGGCTACAATACATTTCTACGAGATGATAAGCCACTTCGTTGAGCTATCATTTGTGGCCAGGTCGTTTCTGAAAATGGAAGCTAATAGCTCAGTGTGCTTTTCCTGGTAAAATAAAAAAAATCGTTTCGTTTTACTTGTGTTTATTTTTTAGTGATGTGCTTACCGATCCTACACTGTGCACTCCTATCGTACATTTTCTTGTTTGTTGTTGTAACGTTCTGACCCGCCCCGCCTGGACATCTGCGAACAAGAGCTTTACAGCTCATCGGATTCCTCCTGCAGTACGAACACATATTCTGACGAAAAGTTTTATAGAACACGAGCATGGTGCAATGCGTCCATTGCCCCTCAGCAGCAACACTGCCTTGGCTCGCCAACTGTGCCACTCAATCGAGAAATAGCAAAACGGTGCCACCTACCTCAGATCCCCGCTGTTGCTGTTTTCTTTAGCGACTGATGCTGTGGCAGAGCGCCCTGCGTGCTTTATCAGAACCGAGGCCCAGTCAGTGGCCGGGGTGGTTGTTTGATAAAAAAAAATGATTTCATTTTTTGTTGATGACGAATTCTAATTCTCCGTACGTGCCACCAGCAGCGTGGCAGTTCTCTGCCATGTTCATCAGCGTGATAAGTCACCCTCAAAACCCACTTCCTGCAACAGCGGTCCAAAAAAAAACAAGTGTGTAATGTGTTGCTCGTGTACAGAGATAAATGTTAATTTGCACGTTTCAGAATCCTTTCGGCGTGTGTACAATAACGTGTGTGAAAGTACTTCACTCTCGCTGTTAACATGTGGAGATTAAAACAAACAACTACAACATTCGTTTAAAATTAATTCAAGGGCAAAAATTCAGAATGGCAGTGCCACCCACGATGGGTCAACTGTATTTTTCTGTGGGTGAAGAATGTATGGGAATGTGAACATTACATGTGTTCACGTTTGGAATAAAACATATGAAACTGCTAAATATTCCTTCAAAGTGGTCTGTAAAATACATTATTTGTCTGCGCACACCGCAAAATGTTAAACATGTCGTAACACGAGACAATATTCTGTAGCAGTCACTAGTGGCCAGAGGAGGTCGCACGAGCCAATTACAAACAACATACTATGCCAAACAGTACACGTTCTTCTATGTACATATTGGGAGCTTTAGAATTGATATGACGGCTTTCAGTTGAAGCCCTTTGTCAACTTGTATTGCTCCACTGTCCCCCATAGTCTGGAACGCCTATTCCTCAAGCCATGCTCTTGACTAACTGCCCCTGTTCAAGTCCAGACTCATGGTCTTCCTTTATATCATGTGCTTATGACTGACTACCTCTCTCCACAAAATAAGTATGGGCTCCGCAGTGGTAAGATGTTAACTACTTCGCCTGGTATACAGGAGGTCGTGGGTTCGATCCTAACCCTGATGCCTTGATATTTGGAGTTTGCATTTCTCTCTCTCTCCGTGGTCGCGTGGATTTTTATCCGGGTCCACCAGTTTTTCCTCTCCACATTTAGAAACATGCGTTTATAGTATGTGGCTGCTTTCAATTTAAACATGATAAGCTACTTCGTTGAACTATCATTTGTGGCCAAGTCGCTGCTGCAAAAACAACTACATATCTCAATGGACCTTACCTGGTATAAGAAAGATAGTTTACAAAAAACATGTTTTCATAGTTTCATATTCCAAGTGTTTTTGTACAGAATTTTGAGATGTGATCACATTCAGACGTAGCATAAATCTACGTTGTATTGTATCGCTCTTGGCACTCCCAATTATCTTACAACTCTCAATGTAATGAGACATGTATTCGTCATTCTATCTACAACTCAAGAACCAACAGTGGTAGTAGTAGTCGTACGAGGATGCAACAATTGACACGCACACACACACACAAAACATCTGCAATTATTTCCTTTACCACGTTGACACGGTTATTTTGTACGACAGGGTGTCACCTAACCCCGGAGATCGGGCCAAACCATTTAACGCATCGAACCACACCACGACCTCGGCAGGAACTCCTACAACGCCACGTGCCGGTCGCGAACCCATCGATCTCGAGTGATTGCCGAAGAGTGCACAACAGCGAATGCTTTTGGACAAGGTGAAGAAGAGAGAGTGAGAGTGAGAGAGCGACTGGGGGATTGCACACCATTCATCATCCAGCCAGTGAGCAGAACGGACGGCGACTACGAACGCAGCTGCGGAAGCGAAGAGAGAATGCCAAAGGCGCAGGTCAAAACGGCGAGACCTGAACGTGACTGTATTCACTTAGCAGCAGAGAGAGAGAGATACTTTGTATTTGAGGTTCAATTAATTGCAGCCTTAAGTAAACACAAAAAACAGCGTTCAAAATGCTCATAAAACATGAAGAGAATGAAGATTTAATACGTACGCTTTCGCGACCAATATCATCTCTCCACAAATATGGCTGTCGCCTGATGAAGCTAGTTGTAATTATTGGCGAAACGTCGAACTCGGATTGTAAATGTTGTGGCTTGGCTCTCCAACACACCGGTGTGCTATACTAGTGACGAATTAGCACGTTCTGTTTACGTGACAAACCTTACTAATTCGCTGTGCCGGGTGGTGACGGGTTTAACGACACATTTATATATTTACGCGATCTCACCCAAAAAAACCTCTATTATAAAATATTTAATGTTGAACGGTAAACACGTGTAGTGTCTATACTAAACTCGTCTCGATTGAGAACTGATTTCTTTAAAACTTGTTTTGTGTCCAGTCTGTTGTACCTTCTCCGATCAGCAAGGTCGGCTACGTACGGTCGCGAAATAAGTTCAACATCCGTACATACATTAAATGACAGTAAGCCGACAACGAAGTCACCCTGAATGCGTCCGATCTCCTTGAGATCTCAGAAGCTCTGCCGCTTTAAGGCTGGCTAGCACTTGGATGGGAGACTGCCAGGGAATCGCAGACGTGCTCGGTTAGGGCTGCGAGGTTGACAGATGGGGGTACAGCAGTGAACTGTTTGAGTTATATCCTCGTATTGCAAGGGTTTTTTTTAAATCTCGGTATTCCGGTTTCATCCCACAAGCACAACACTCACTGATGGAATTGGGGGAAAAAATCCCAACACAGGACCCTCCTGAAAGTGCACTGAGACTCAACGAGGCTTTGCAGGGAAAACGCCTTAGTTATAAAAATAAATACATTTCAGCATCGATATGTTAAAAATGCCAGCCATACTTATAGTACTAGCTTCACAATGTTGAGTTGGTTTGATTCTTGTTTTAGTGTTCTGTCTTAAGAACTGGAACCGCATACGCCAAACACAATGCATGCTGACAAGAAGCTTGAAACATAGGGCCCAGAACACATGCTTAAAGAGGCCTTTAGTGATATCCATTCACAGGCACAGAGTAAACAATCTTGGAATAAACTCTCTAAAAGGATTGTAACATAAACCCCGTCCCGATTAATCGCACGAGTGCACAGTCAAATATTTAGTTGAATGTATTTTTTAAACACCTCCCACATGTGCAGACCTTTAAACCATTAAACGGCCCATTCGTGGTGTTGTATGTCTCGATTTAAAGCTTTCGTGACTGCAGGGATTCATCTTCTTGGTTCTTTCGGTAAAGTCACGTAGAAGGGAAGTAATAAAATAATAAAAATGAAACATAATAAAATAATATAAGAATAAAATAATATAATAATATAATAAAATTATTTTATTATGTTTTATTTTTATTATTTTATTACTTCCCTTCTACGTGACTTTACCAAAAGAACCTAGAAGACTGTATGTCTTATTGAAGAAAAGGTGAAGGCGCAGCCTTGCAATCGCTTGTTCACGCCACTGCTGGCAGAAGGGCCTCCACCAGAGGGAATTCAAAGAGAGCCTCTCTCTCTCGTGGGTATTTGGCCTACTCTTCCACGCTGGCCAGACGTCTTGGAAGTATCCCCACCACACGTTTCCTACCGATCACCTGTGGTTTGCCCATTGATATCGCTGGGTGACAGGAGGGTGCATTGAAGAAACGCGCCACGTTCTTGACCTTTACTGCAGCCTTGCAACCCTTTGATTCTCAGTCGTAAACGTGTTTATATAATGTTAATAAATACGTAGGTTTGATGAAACAAAGTAGTTGTATTCTTGTTTTTTTCGGTAAATCACGTAGATAGAAAATAAAATAAAAATAATAAAATATAAATTTAAGCAAAAAAGCCCACGACGTTATATATTTTATTTTATTATTTTATATCTACGTGACTTTACCGAAAGAACCAAGAAGATGAATTCCTGCAGTCACGAAAGTTTTAAGTGAAAAAGTAAGTTGTACTTACATGCTAGTGCTTCTAAAAAAAAACCTGGCCATGTCTCGCACCCCCAGAAAGGGCATCTCTCACCCCCAGGGGGTACAGCATGCAACCCCACGTGAAGAAGAAACCACCGCTTAACATCATGGGACCTCCTTTGCCAGTACAAAATATAAGAATAGGTTTTCCCACTTTTTTCTGGCAACAAAACTGAAACCTTTTTACGAGGAATGATGTCTGCATGAACCACAATACTTGTGGTCAGAATGCAAACAAAAAACATACAATGATAATATATGCATTATCCTTGAAACTGATTGGTCCACACCAGAGACTTGAGCCTCGTCTCAAAACGGTGTTAGACCAGAGGACACCATTTGAGACGAGGCTCAAAACACCGCTTCACAGTCAACCGCTCCGCGCCAGGAGATTGAACCGGCGACCTCCTCTGGATAGCTAGTCCAGTGTGCCAAACGATACAACCACAGCAGCAGCAGCAGCAGCATCCCTGCCTGACCGCGGGACCGAAACACAACACGACTGCGCGCTTACCTGCGTCTGACCAAAACGAGCGTCTTCTCTTCAAGTCACGAGCTCTCCCAGGCTGAGCTGCGCAAGACACGTGCTTGCACGCGCCTCGGGCTTATGCGCACAGAGAGTTTGCGTTGCAGAGTTCCGCAGTGGTCAAAGCGAATTCTCGATTGCAACCGGATGTAAACACACTTGACAAGTGAAACTAAACAAAGAGAAATTACGTAAACATGCGAAACCGTTGAGAAAATGTACGCAAGCCTCAGACATCGCAATGCAGTTTCGGCCTGAAAAGTGTTTAGACTTAAGTGAGACTTTCCTCGACATAATTATTATTAGTACTGTACTATTTGTTAGCATGTGTCCGACAATTATGAACATCATTTGCAAATGCTTCACCGTACTGTCATGATTTCCGGAAAGCTGTATAGTTTGCAGCAGTGCCTATGTTGCAGCACACACTGTGGGAGCCAGCATTCCACTCTCTAAACGCTATTGCGCAAGCAGGCACGAATTGCGTGGTGTGTGTAAAAAGCTTGTCACAAACATTTAAATCAAGGTCAGGTTAACCAACGTGGTTCATCATACACTGTTGGCAACACACACACACACACACACGCGCAACGGGGCTGACGGCTAAATATCACGAGCCAAACTTCCAAAAGAGATGATGGGGAAAATGTGTTTAATCAGTGTTGGAAAAGGGACAATTCTTCAGATGGAACGCTCAATAAGAAGCCAGGACCATCTTGCACAACAAGTCCGCTTTCCGGATTAGAGTTTTCTCGGTATCCCGTGGGAGTATTAAGTGCACGTGTTCCAATCCCACACATTTCTGCAATTTATGAGAAAACCCATCAACAGAGGGAAATGTGCGCAAGCTGGAAACGTATGGATAATAACGGGACCCAAAGGTGCACTGCTGCTCACAAACAGCAGGAAGGCACGACTCTCAAACACGCCTCGCTTGTATGTCATGTGACCACACCACATTGAGCGTGCAAGTGCTCTCAGCCTTGTCTAGACCACCAGCTCAAAGCAGAGCTTGAACGTGTAGCCGTATAATTCGTTTAGACCACCAGCTGAAAACGAGTTCAAAGGGGGTGGCCCTTCCACCATGCCGCCGTGCGCTGCATTCATTAACAGTGCGCTACTTTAATTAGTAACCGCTCCTCCCTCACTCGTCGCTGATCAGTAACCCATGTGGCCGCAGTCGGACACACTCTCCGCCTTCATAGGTAAACAATACATATCTTTCTATCGGCTAATTTACATGGTATGCATTTCCCATGTTTTGACCATCCTCCCACTCCCCCGCCGCCCCACCACCCACAACGACTGATAATTATAATTCATGGCTCGCTATGAATGCAAGTACGTGTTAAAGTATTAAATCTAACAATTATCAGTTCAACCAACTGTTTTATTGTTATCATTGTCTTATCAGCTGATGTGCATCACGGTTGGAGTTTCCACAAAGGGAAGGTCTATTACTGATACACTGGCCAAAATCATCCTCTCGCTGAAGCAGCACGCTATGGGACATTTCTGGCCAGTATCAAAATATAATAATTTATTTTACCCTGTCTGGCAACAAAACAGGTGTTAAGATGTTAAAACGCCGGAATCATGTCTGCATTAACCACACATACGTGTGGTGAACATGCACACAAAAACATGCTCTGGTATTCAGCAGTTTTTTCTTGCTGTGGTTGTCCCACCTGATGACGAGTGCTTGTGTTGCGATCGAAACGTCGTGATCTATTATTTTCTACCTACGTGACTTTACCGAAAGAACCAAAGAGTATGTTCTGGTAATATATGCTTTGTCTTTGAAACTGATTGCTTAATGCAGACATGATTCCTCGCAAAAAAGGTTTCTGTTTGGTGTTTTTACATCTAAACGCCTGTTTTGTTGCCAGAAAGGGTAAAACCAATTCTCATAAACAACACGTTGTCAGAATAAGTAGTTAAAGACCTCTCCCCTAGCAGAACAAAGTTGTGGCACAAGACAGAAACAACAGGTCTGAGCCCATGTTGTTGAATGGCCCCTCAGTTGAACATCCGCACAAAATCAAGTGACACATTGCCCGTAGAGAAAGAGACTCACCAACATTTGACGATCACCGAGAGCAAATTAAGATTACCACGATACCTTGATCTGTCCGCCCCTGTAGTAGTGGCGGTGGTCACCTGCTGCCCGGTGTCACTTTGCTCCTGACGGTTGTGACTGGCACCGCTGTGTGTCCTGCGCGCCCGTGTGGTTAAAGTTCCACAATGCATTGCAAAGTCCTCCAAAAAAAAGCCTAATTTTTCCGAGAATTTTTTTTTGTTCTTCCCAAAAAAATAATAATCTTACACAATGTGTCATCGCCGTCGTCATCAGCAGCCATGTTCTAACCACTGTTGGATGAAGGCACCCACCTCTCACAATGCAACAATGCAGAATGTGTTGAACATGTCATCATCCCAAACTACGTTTTTGACAAATGAGACTTTTACTGGCACGTAAGTTTTGTTTTCTCTCAATCAGAAAGTTTGCTAAAAATATATTTGACTTTTTTTTTATTATTATTTATGGTTAACAGATGGTGGTGCTATCACAATATGATAACTTTAAAGACCACATCTTTTATATTTTGTGCATATCTGCATTTCTGGATGGGTGATGGTTGGCATCATGTCTGACCACGCCGCAAGAAGCAACACGACAATATTATTATGAAAAAGCTACATTTTGCATCACAGAATGCTTGTGCAGTTACTGATGACAATGCTCAAACCATCCACCCGGTGTAGATCATCACCTAAAATTGAAACCCCAGGTTCAAAGTCAACAGCTCAACGGTGCCGGCGACTGTGGGGCCGTCCATAAATGACGTCACGCGATTTTGGACGATTTTTGACCCCCCCTCCCCCTTCGTCACACGACATCACAAAAAGTCAGACCCCCCCCTCAAATATGACGTCACAAAGATTTGCCCCCCCCCCCCCCCAAAAAAATGTAAAACATGCTTCAAATCACTTTAAACTATTGTCATTGTAGTGCGTATTTAATGTGGCGCTGCACTCTGATGTTGTAGGAGAAAACATTTATTAAAAAGTCTATTTCATTAAGTAGAACGTGTTGTCTATATTTATTTAAATTTGCGCATTTTTATGTAACGTCACATTTCTCAACCCCCCCGCCCCCTCGTCACACATCGTCACAAATGTCTGACCCCCACCCCCCCCTTAGGTGCGTGACGTCATTTATGGACGGCCCCTGTCCTCTGATCTCTATTTGGCGTTTTAATGTCAAATACAGCGCTCGTTACACACATCATTGTTGAGCTCGTGTCCTTTCAGTGAATTGTAATCAAGCATTGGTGCCTTGTGTGACGGTTTCCGATCGTGACAAACGTCTGTGGCGTTATCGGAACCAGTCCAGACGTTGCCAACTTCACAAACCCGCCCTGATTAGCGGGCTGATTGTGTTGTACTTTATTCTGCATGATTTATGCTTGCGTGCAACCAGGAACCCCACACGTTCAAAAATAAAAATACCTTTACATATAACGTGACGAGGTCACCAGCATTGTTTTCAAGCAAGTCTGACTGCTGATGAGACACGGTGTGAAAACCGGTCCCACGTTTGCTTGTATTGAACAAATGCTGCTAAAATGATGCATTCCCAGGAAGCCGTGGGACCGATGGATGGGGTTGTGTAAATAAGAATGTTTTTATGTGGAGGGGGAAGATATAAGATATATTATTGTAATTTATTGTTCTCCGCGACGCTTATGATTTAGGGTGAAGTATGGTCAAACAACGAGCATGCCCGACTCAGTATTCGGAGGCCTTCGATTCAGAAATGGGCTGGTGAAGGGTTGAACATGATTCAATGTTAGGATAAACATCACCCATTACATCCAGGGCATCTTGCAAAGTACTATTTATTACACGTTCTACAGAGTGGTCCAACTGTGACGTGACCCCCCCCCCCTCCCATTTAATGATCTAAAACTTAACAGTTTAAAAAAAAGTAAGGTTTATAAAAAAAACATGTAATTTACAAAGGAAACACAAAATATGTTCGGAGTCAATTATTTGGGAGGGGTCACAAGACATCTGGACCTCCATGTGCAATACTCACTCTGCTGGGGTTAATTTCACCCAGAATATTTAAAGCCCCATCCCCCACCTGCCCACCACTACGTCACTCTCCTCCCCCCGGGGCGGGGCATGTGCAGGGAAATATTTTCCGGAGATCAGCCTCGGACAGCTCCTTGTTCAGCACCGCACATCACACGTGACGCGTTGCACGTCATCTGTAGGTACAGTACTTTAAACGTGGCCCTTGGCCACTGACGTGGTCTTACTCGACCCAGGCTTAAACAGCCCCACCCCTCCCTCCACTAAGGTGGACGGCGGTTCCGGGCCGAGATAGAAACAAACACTTGTGTACTTGTACGCAGACAGAAGCAACTCGCCTCGCGCGTCATTGTCCACGTGTTCTAGATTTGGCGGGAAACGTCTTTTTTTCCTTTCCCGCCACTGGCCCGCGCCGCGTCCATTGCCGCTGCAAGTCATCTCGGCCCCGTTCCTCTGTTGTTGTTTCTTGAGCTCCGCGGTGCTTTAAAGTCTCAACCCTTCCTCTCGCGAAGATGGAAGACGTGGAGAACCAGGAGCTGAGGGAAGCCAAGCGAGCCTACCTGGACTTTCTGGACGATGATGTAGGATCGCGCCCCGGGTTCATTTTTTTTACTCTCTCGCTCTCTGTCAGTCTGCCGTTTTATGCAAAGAAACCCGTACTTCATTCAATACGAGCGCGTGTGCTTTGTCTTATTAACGAACTCCCACAGACGGCTTCAGACAGAGAACAGCAGCGACATGGTGTAGGGGAGTGTGCATCCTCGTGTGTGTTGAGTAATACGCGCAGTGCAAGTTGCCTTGCCTCGTGTGCACTTGCGTCCATTGGAGAGGCCCAATATTCGTCTCTGACTAAATGTATGTTGAACTTCTTTTGCACCGTACGTAGCCAACCGTGATGATGGGAGGTGCGGGTAGGGGGTGGACAACAACGCGTTAGTGTAAATTGGCGGATTAAACGACATCTTAAGAACAATGCGTGATCGGTACAGCGTTGCATGCCTGCGAGACTTGGACATGTTAAAAAAAAACCGACTGACTGACAGAGATGAGATATTGGCACTGGAAATGTATCGCTGCTGCAGACGGATTAGCGCTGCTGCGTCTAAACTGGACCCAAAAGAGTGACCACATCGAGGAAGACGACTTGACGATGATGACCAAGATGCAGACGGTGGCGATGAGAAGTCAACTGGCCACCATTTGGACACGTGTTGTAGTAGTAGGATGGACTTGTACAAGTAAAAGTGTTGTTGTTCGGAAAGAGAGGACGAGCTAACGGAGAGAATGGCTTTACGAAGATGTGGCGCTACTTGAGCATATTGACACGAGAGAGAGTGGCAAGTTGAAACAAACGACACAACGTGCAGTGCACACCTACATGGCTATCTGCCCCTGGATCGTGATGATGACCATGGGCTGACACTCCATTGTTTGTATTGTTGTAGTTGCTGCTGCGCTGAAGTTGCGTTTTCGACGTTCATCTTACGAAACAACCGCTTGTTTGATAGCCAGCTGTGAAGTTATTTGATACCGTGTGCTAATGTTCGGCCGTGGCGGATACGTTTACTCAAGTAGGACACAACGCAACGAATGAGCTGGTTTTGTATTAAGTCAGGTGTACGGGCCTGTGTGTGTGTGTGTGTGTTAAGGCTATATGGGGGACCTTTGTCTTTGTTGGTGGGGAGCGGTGGTGCAGTGGTTAGTGCTCTGTGCGACGAATCCGACCATTTGAGTTCGATTCCCGCTCACGGCCACCAACACCATCAGTGGCGATTATCAGAACCGGTCCTGGGCCTCCCCTAGGTCGACTCGGCCTCAAATGAGCACCTGTCTCCCTAAGTGGCGATGTCTACACATCGCCACTTAGGGAGACAAAGGCGGCCGGGCGTGGTGCTGGCCACCCCCCCCCCTCGTGTACCGTGCATGCGACTTTAATAGGTACTCTTAAACGGTGCGCGTATTTAACTCGATGTTTAAATTTAGCGTCCAGCTGTGTTGTGTCTTCACACGTGGTTAGATCCGATACGGGTTACACAATCAACAAAATGTTCCACTGGGTGTGGGTAGTTCACAATCAGAATATTTATAGTGGAGGAATCCGATGATCTATAAAGCTCTTTTTTTTACACGGATGGCCAGTTGGGGCGGGTGCATATGCGACGCTGTGAAAGCGAGACGTAATAATGTACTGTAGTGCACATATCATTTGAACCAGTGCTGTGTGTTGTTATTGCTCAGCCGTGGAGGGAAGTGTTAGATTGCTTATAGTGGAGTTCATCTAGTGATGAACCAAGCAATGATTGGCACTCAAGAAAGGCAGAGACGTGCGAAAAATGTCAACACGTTATCGATGTGGTCGATTTGTTTACGTCAATATGATCGACACTGAGCAAAGGCAGGAAGGAGGTGGGTGGTGGAGTTAACTAAACGCGCTGTTGTTTGCAGGCTGTGGACATTGCATGGTCTTGCCCGATTTGCGAGCGCGTTATTTTAAACAGCGCCGCGGTGCGGTGCGGGCGAGGCTGCATTTGACTGGCGCGTGTAACCTCCTCCCCCTTTGTCCGCGTTCGCAGGAAGACCAGGGGGTGTACTATGGCAAAGTGCGCGACATGGTTAACGACAACCAGTGTCGCCTCGTCGTCAACATCAACGATCTGCGGCGCAAGAATGAGAAGAGGGCCAGTCTGTGAGATCTCACACCCCCCCCCGCCTGCTCCTGTGCACACCTCCTACACCGGGGCTTTGCCTGCCAGCAGAGACCACCAGTCCAGTTCGCTGGACACTTATGAGTTATTGAATAACGATGGGAAAGATATTGCGTCGTAAAAACGAGAATGATGTGAACTACCTCGCCTGTTATGTGGGAGGACTTGGGTTCGATCCCGACCTTGACGCCCGTATATTTGGAGTTTGCGTGTCTCTCTCTCCAGGTCCCCTGGTTTTTTAACCCCTCCACGTTTAGAATGAAAATGCGTTTGAGTATTTGGCTGCTTTAAATTCCCACGTGATAAGCCTCTTCGTTGGGATATCAATTGTGGCCAAGTCGCGTCTGAAAAGAGCTATATGGCTTTGTGGTCCTTACGTGGTAAAATAAAAAATAAAAACGAGTTCTGCTTATTGCATGGTTCAAAAGTAAAAATAAATGGCTCCCTACTTAAGTGAAGCCGATGACCGATATCATCAGGCCTCAGACGTTGCTAAGCAAGGGTTGAGATTGGACAGTTATTGGATGGGCAACCACCGTGCCTGACGGGCTGTAAAGGCTATAGACTGCAGGCCTGTGCAATGGACAGCAGAGGGCAGTATAGAAAATCCACTGTTGTATTGTACTGTGTCTATGCCTCCTCAGCCAAGCAGCGGCAGAGGTCGCAAACGGGTTTTGATTCCTTACCCGTACCCGTACCCGGCCGGACCAAGGTACGGGTACAGGTAAAGAAAGATGTTCCCTACCCGTACCCTACTCGAAATGAGTGACAAACGGTGACTCACCAGTGACTCACGGCCTACCCGTACCCGGCCACACCAGGGTCGTACCCGGCCGGGTACGGGTAGCCGGGTATCGGGTAGGGTACGGGTATCGGGTACCCGGTTGCGACCTCTGAGCAGCGGTGACACACGCCTCTCATCCGGCTCCGTGGAGGCAGCGAGGGTTGGCGTATCGCACAAATGTTGTGAAACTCCCTTCCCGTGGGTGTTGAGGAGTCCATACCCTGGTTCGTCGGGAGAAGTGGACTAATCGCCACCTGCTTCCGTCTGTACGGAGCGTTTCCTACTTTCGTACGCGTGGGTTTTCTCCCACGTGCTCGTCGTCAATTGACTGAGCGCACTTCTTCAAAGTGAAATCCCGACGCAGGACCCTCCTGCAAAAGAGTCCTCGGACTCATTGTGTGGCTTCCTGGATAAACAAGTAAATTACTTCAGTGAGCAAACTCAACTCGGCACTTGGTGAAATATGGTCAAATAACCCTCCACGACCCCCCCCACAGCGATGGAAACGGGGGGGGGGGGGTGGGGGTGGCGGGGGGGCTAGTGGTTGCCGATAATTTCCTGCCTCTTCTTGGTTCTTTCGGTAAAGTCACGTAAAAGGGAAATAATAAAGTAATGAAAGTACTTGAAAAAAATGATTATTTTATTATTTCCCTTCTACGTGACTTCATTATTATTTTATTATTTTCCTTCTACGTGACTTTACCGAAAGAACCAAGAAGATGAATCCCTGCAGTCACGAAAGCTTTAAATCGAAATTGTATTTTCTGCCTCTTCTGAACGCCGCTTGCGACGCTGTCCCGTGTCCCCCCGTGCCTCAGGCTGCTGAACAGCTCGTTCGAGGAGCTGCTGGCCTTCCAGCAGGCGCTCAAGGAGCTCGTGGGGCACGTGGACGGGACGTACGCCAAGCAGTTCGAAACGTTCTACGTGGGGCTCGAGGGCAGCTTCGGCGCCCGACACCTGTCGCCGCGCACCCTCACCTCGCGCTTCCTCGGCAACATGGTGTGCGTGGAGGGCATCGTCACCAAGTGTGAGTCCGCGACCGCCCGCCCGCAACGAGTCGTCGTCGTTATCGGAAAGTGGTCGTTTCAGTGCCGGGTGAAGGCTTCCACAGGAATGGGTGTTTCTTTGACCAGACTTGCAATAACATGCCGGTCAGTGGCCTGGAATTGAACTTGGGTCGCCGGCGTTTGGACCGCAGTGCGCTCACCCACAGCGCTATTGCTACGCTCCACAAACCTGATTAAGCAAGGAAACGGAAATCACAAATTATCTTTTTTTATTTGTGAAACATTTCACAATCCCAAATGTGCCCGTGGTTCATTTTGAACGTTTTGCTTGAAATCTTAACAGGTAAAGAAAGATGTTCATATTGCTATAAAACGATACCCGTCGGCTTTCCTACTGCACATTTAATACAGTAGACTCGATTGTCCACTCTAATGACGGGGAGAATGTACGCGGATAATTAAAATAATTAAAAAGTATTAATTTTCTGTGGATCTCTATCCAAAAAACCACTAATTTACGTATAAATGAGTGGTTTTTGAAGCACAACTTACGATTGTGATTGTTACTCTTTCGATTGGTAATGAATACTAACACGTAGTGTTGCACGTGCTCGTTGATAACACTTTCCTGCTCCCGCACAGAAGACTCAGCCCACCAAGCGGGATAGCGGAACCACGCCAATCAACATCAATCAAAATCCACCCACTGTTGTAAAGATATGCAACTACAGTATTGTACTGTAGAGGCGATTATGTGGATTTCAGATTAACCGGTGCACATATTCATCCGGTTTAAACACGTCACTTGTAATGAACATTTCCAAGAGTAACATTGTATAACTGTGTTTAGATTATTATTTTGGGCTTAAGGGAAAATCCATGAGTTATTTATGTCAAAATCTCAGGTGCGCGGTTAATCCGAAAATCGGATAAACCGCACGTGGATAATCGTGAGTCTACTGGAACTTCCGACAACAAACTCGTGGGATTGTTGTTACGGAGTCCATGTATGTGCACGATTTGTCTTCGTTGTTGCTCACTTGGCTGTACGTTTTGTTGTGGGCCAGGCTCCTTGGTGCGTCCCAAGGTGGTGCGCAGTGTTCACTACTGCCCCGCCACCCAGAAAACCATCGAGAGGAAGTACAGCGACCTCACCTCTCTCGATGCCTTCCCCAGCAGCGCCGCCTACCCCACCAAGGTGAGCGCCCATCTGTTCTGGTCATAAATCAATCGGTGTCTTAGTCTCTCACTCATCGCCAGCTTGCCGTCCTACCAAAACAACGGCCGTTTCATTACCATTGACGGCCGTCTCTGCAACTCTTGTGAAGATCGTTCAACGTGAACAAAGCTTCGGCATAAAGTTGTGCGGCTGTCAGAGACTCGCCCTGTTGAAAGCGCAACAAATTGATCAAAGTGTTCTTCAGACAAAAATCCACAGCAAAAAGGACCCTTCGCAAAATGCCAACGCAAAACTACCCGTCGGACATACACAAACGCATTTGCCCTGACCATTACAGGTCATCTGCCGTACTGCTCATTGAATTCTTTCATGGACAAACGCATGTGCATCACCAAGAATATGCATGACTTTTCTGAGCTTATTTGGCCAAACATATAGGGCCACGGATTTCGGGCAATGGTTTGCCACCGAATCTAGTGCCTTTTTGCTTTTCTATGGTTTCCCGCACCTCTGAATCATACTCTCTTGAGAGCAAATGAATACCTGTGCGTGGTTAAACCCGAGTGTTGTCGAACGATTTCCTCCACCTTCACCTCTCCATCTGATCCCCGCCAACCCCACTCCTCCCCCCCCACCTCACCGGCAGGACGAGGAGAGCAACCCGCTGGAGACGGAGTACGGCCTCTCCGTCTACCGCGACCACCAGACCATCAGCCTGCAGGAGATGCCCGAGAAGGCCCCCGCGGGACAGCTGCCCCGCTCGGCCGACGTGGTGCTGGACGACGACCTGGTGGACCGCTGCAAGCCCGGCGACCGCGTGCAGGTCATCGGCACCTTCCGCTGCCTGCCCGGCAAGAAGGCCGGATACACGTCGGGCACTTTCCGGTGAGTGACCCCCCGGTCCAGGGGGAGATTGGTGATCTGACGATTCGCGTTGCTGATGCCGCCGCAATAGCCGTCCGATTTGTGAGGTCTTTCGGGGTTCAACTCGCGGTGGTTTGCGTTTAACTTTCAGCGGTGCAAAGTTAAACCCCGATGAAGCTTGGAGAGGTTGAATGGAGTTCAAAATACCTCCCTGATGACATGCACTTTGTGAAAGACCCCAACGCAGACGAACCCTGGGTTTGATGTTCCACGAAGCTCATGGTCCACCCTAAACCGCATCCACTGCACGAACTATTGCAGATGTGGATACTTGATGCACAAATTGAAAATTTATATCGCCGCAATGCCCCGATCCACAAATACGAAGGAGACATCGCGGCGATCCACTCTGCCTCTCCTGATGAGGTTGTTTGGCTTGACCCACTTCAATGTGAAATCGTAGTTGTAGCTCTGCATCTACACTGCCCATGATGTTCGTCATGATGCTCGCTGCGATGCGCCGCGTGTCTTTTACTTGTGGCTTGTTATTTATTTATTTATTTCCCTTGACGCATAACGGTTTTTCTGTCGTTTCCCGCCCGCTCCGCTCCGCTTTCGTTCCACCCAGGACCATTTTGATCGGTAACAACGTGAAGCAGATGAACAAGGAGGTGGTCCCTACCTTCTCCGGGGAAGATGTCAACAAGATCAAAACGTTCAGCAAGACTCACTCAAAGGTCAGGCCCCCGGCGTAGGATTGGTGACAGAATATCAGAATCAAAGCTTTTATTGAGATGTATACGTTGAATGCCCAAAGACAATGCCTATAGCATTTAATCAGCACTTGGCCCATACAGTCTGTTAAAGGCTACACGGGGAGAGGGGGGGTGGGAGTGGATTTATGTCTTTGTTGCGCTCCCCTGCGCACACCAATGCGACGTTTGCTCTCGTACCGTTACAGAACATCTTTGACCAGCTGTCCAAGTCCCTCGCTCCGAGCATCCACGGCCACGAGTACATCAAGAAGGCCGTGCTCTGTCTGCTCCTGGGAGGCACGGAGAAGATCCTGGACAACGGCTCTCGAATCCGAGGGGACATCAACGTGCTGCTCATCGGTAATGAGCCCGGTGGATGCTCGAGGCTCTGCGTTAATCAGAGCTGCTGCGATACTCCGATATGGGCGTTACGGTGACGACATGTTAACTACCTCGCCTGGTATGCAGGAGGTCGTAGGTTATATCCCAACGCCTCTATATTTGGAGTTTGCATGTTATCCCCGTGGTCGCGTGGATTTTTCTCCGGGGACTCCGGTTTTTCCCTCCACATTTAGAATCGGCATGCATTTCGAGTGTTTGGCTGCTGTAAATTTCCACGTGATAAGCCACTTCGCTGAGCTTTCATTTGTGGCCAGTTTTACTTTGGTTTAAATGTTGTGCAATACGAGGTCGCATCTTCATTTTTGCAAAACTTATCGCGAATACCGCAGCGGCATATTACGTTGGGTATTTTATTTCCTGGCAAGTATGACAATCGCACCTTAATTGCAGGTCACGCCTTAATTAAAGGTCGAAATAAATAGCTCTCAACCTTGTGTTCCCGTGTGCCGTGTTGGCCTTCATCGGTGCTCGCTAACGGCGCTGGCCCCAATGCGGGGGGAGGCAGGGGGGGGTCTTGTCTTTGTCTCGGAGTGGTCACTTTGTCGCCCTATGCGACCCCAGGCGACCCGTCGGTGGCCAAGTCCCAGATGCTGCGCTACGTGCTGCACACGGCGCCGCGCGCCATCCCCACCACGGGCCGCGGCTCCTCCGGCGTCGGCCTCACCGCCGCCGTCACCACCGACCAGGAGACCGGTAGGCGACGCTCGCTCCCCCCACCACCACCACCACCACTCCCCCCACCACCACCGCTCTCCCCACCACCACCACCGCTCTCCCCACCACCACAGCTCCCACCACCACCACCGCTCCCCCCACCACCACCACCGCTCTCCCCACCACCACAGCTCCCACCACCACCACCACCGCTCTCCCCACCACCACAGCTCCCACCACCGCTCCCCCCACCACCACCACCGCTCCCCCCACCACCACCACCGCTCTCCCCACCACCACAGCTCCCACCACCACCACCACCGCTCTCCCCACCACCACAGCTCCCACCACCGCTCCCCCCACCACCACCACCGCTCCCCCCACCACCACCACTGCTCCCCCCCACCATCACGCTCCCCACACCACCACCACTGCTCCCCACCACCACCACCGCCGCTCCCCCCACCGCCACCACTGCTCCCCACCACCACCACCGCCGCTCCCCCCACCACCACCACTGCTCCCCACCACCACCACCGCCGCTCCCCCCACCACCACCGCCGCTCCCCCCACCACCACTGCTCCCCCCACCACCACCACTCCCCACTTGAGCTTGTCGAGCAAGGTCTGAGGACTGAGTGACCCGCGATGGAGGTGACGTGGGGATCACGAAAGGGTAGGGGAGGGACGAGACGAAGTGGAGGGGCGAGTGGAGGGAAGAAGGGAATGGGCAATGGGTGTGTGTGTACTCGCGCTTGTAATCACACTAGTACTTGTGTGTACGCACTAGTACTCGTGTGTGTACGCACGCTTGTACTCGCGCTTGTACTGACGCTTGTACTTGCCGTGCACCAGGCGAGCGCCGCCTGGAGGCGGGCGCCATGGTGCTGGCCGACCGCGGCGTCGTTTGCATCGACGAGTTCGACAAGATGACGGACATGGACCGCACGGCGATCCACGAGGTGATGGAGCAAGGCCGCGTCACCATCGCCAAGGCCGGCATCCACGCTCGCCTCAACGCGCGCTGCAGCGTGCTCGCCGCGGCCAACCCCATCTACGGGCGGGTGAGACGCGCGTCCCAGTCCCGCACCGCACAACCCCCGGCACCGCAGCACACCCAAGCCGCGTGGCGCCGCGCCGTCCCGTCGCGCTGAGCGCGTGGTGTGTGCTCGTCATTGTCGGCGCGTGCAGTACGACCAGTACAAGACGCCCATGGAGAACATCGGGCTGCAGGACTCGCTGCTCTCTCGCTTTGACCTCCTCTTCATCGTGCTCGACCAGACCGACCCCGAGTACGACCGCGAGATCAGCGACCACGTGCTGCGCATGCACCGCTACCGCGCGGTCGGGGAGCAGGACGGCGACGGTGAGAGCACGCGCGCGCTCCGGCTATGCGTACCAAGTGTTGGCCACACGTGACAAAGAACCCCCGTGTAGCACCTCCGAAGGCCGGCACTGCGCACGAGGGGGTGGGTGGCGAGCCTTTTTTTTCCCCGACTGCCGATGTTTAAACATCACACCAGTTACTCGCTTGAGGCTGAGTCGACCTAGGTGAGGCCCTGGACCGGTTCAGATCATCGTCAATGGTGTTGGGCATGAGCAGGATTCGAACTCTGGTCGCCGGGTTCGTAGAGCAGCCAGCTAACCGCTATATGAACATTTATCTTCTACGTATGTTGAATTTCTTTCGCATCGTACGTAGCCAACCATGCTAATCGTTAACACGCACACAGCTGCGTGTTTATCCAATAATAATGCTGCAATGCGCCCAGACTGAGCTTAACATTAAAATCGAATTAATCTATTTATCGCTTCGAGACGAATGGGCCATATACGCGTAAAACATGGGCTACATATGACATTTGCATACGCACGCGCACATACACAACGCACATACACAACGCACATACACAACGCACACACACAACGCACATACAACAACGCACGTTGACGCGTGCTCACATTGTGCGCAGCGATGCCGCTGGGGAGCACGGTGGACATCCTGGCGACGGAGGACCCGGACGCGGTGGAGGAGGAGGAGCGGAGCATGCAGGTCTACGAGAAGCACGACAACCTGCTGCACGGGCCCAGCCGCCGCAAGTGCGTTGCACCTTTGCGTCAAATTTTAAATCTTTTATATTAAGTTCGCTTGCTTCCTTGCTTGCGCGCTTACGACCGTGCAAATCTTTCGGTCCGTTTTTTAACCCACTTCCCGTGATCCAATCGAGCTGACATTTTGCACACAGACTCATTGTGCGTGACAATCTATTTTCGTGAAAAAATTTTCCAAAATTTTCCACTTTTAGGAAAAAAAAAATTATATTTAATTACCAATTGCTTAATGGTGGCAGGCAATCATCTGACCCATAGGTGGCAGCCATCTCAAGCCAGAGGACGAGAGGACTCTAGCCGCCACGCATATAAAGGATTTATAGTGAAAAATTTTGTTTTTACGGGTTAATTTTTTTGGGCCGAGCCTTCCTTGGGTCAAAAGTGTTCTCCGCGTTGCCGCTCCACGCTTCCCGACTTCCCTTGCCGCTCATCTGTAGCTTGGTTCCCTCCTTCACTCCCTCTCTCTTTATTTCCCTGTTAAATTACAACACACAGCTTACTTGCGCCTGTCCCTAACTTTTTAATTGAAACTGTAACTTTTTACTAATAGGGTTTTTCCCCTTTTTTTCTGTCAACAAAACTGACACCTTTTGCAAGGAACCATGTTAACATTAACCACAATACTTGCAGTCATATGAGACTAGGCTCTAAGAAAAGCTGTCTCTGATGTGGATCAATCAGTTTCAGAGTATTGTTTTTTGTTTGCATTTGACTGCAAGTATTGTGCTTAATGTTAACATGATTCCTTGCAAAAAGTGTCAGTTTTGTTGCCAGAAAAAAGGAGAAAAACCCTCTTAGTATATTTTGATCCTGCAAAGGAGGCCTCATAATGTACCTTTTTTGTCCCCCTTGACGCCTCTTGCTCTCATTATATTTATTTGCGCTGTTCTTTTCCTTCCCCTTTTATCCCCCCCCCCCCCCACGCGTGGTTCGTCAGCCGTGCGATATTCCTCACGGGACCCTGTACTCGTTCTCTGCAATATCGACGTTGTCGCGTTGTTGCGGTTGCTGCTGCTTTGCTCGTGCCTCACGGGAGACTTGGGGACCATCATCCGTGTGACAAATACAGCTTCAATGCGAGCGTTGTATGGCCGAGCAATCGACCGGCGTGTGCTAAAAACTAGTAATCCAATTATCCTTCTGACAAAAACTCTGTATTAATACTGGATTACCCTCGATTTAAAGCTTTCGTGACTGCAGGGATTCATCTTCTTGTTTCTTTCGGTAAAGTCACGTAGAAGGGAAGTAATAAAATAATAAAAATAAAACATAATAAAACAATTCTCACGACGTTTCGGCTACAACGCAAGCAGCCGTCTTCAGGTGAAGAATGAGACACTACCATTCTTCACCTGAAGACGGCTGCTTGCGTTGTAGCCGAAACGTCGTGAGAATTGTTTTATTATGTTTTATTTTTATTATTTTATTACTTCCCTTCTACGTGACTTTACCGAAAGAAACAAGAAGATGGACTGGATTACCCGTAACGATATGCGCAGACTCTGCGTCGGTAGCAGTCGTTAGGGAGTCGTAGATACGAGTTTTGGTCGTTACTTTGGGTGTCTTACCGACTATGAGAAAGGTCGTTGCAGGGGGTGCGAGGGGGTCGCAAGTCAAGCCATCGTAAGTCGGGGGTCGCCTGTACTGTGGTGCAGTTCATCCTAGTTTGACTCCAGCAGGACAAGCGGTTAAACTGCGGCGGTGTTGCCGATGCCAAATGACGAGCGACGGCCGCGTCGGCACCCCCCCCAACGCGTGTCACCCGTGCGCAGGGAGAAGATCGTGAGCATGCAGTTCATGCGCAAGTACATCCACCTGGCCAAGATCATCAAGCCCGTGCTCACGCGAGAATCGGCCGACTTCATCGCCGAAGAGTACTCCAAGCTGCGCAGCCTCGACCAGATGAGCGCCGACGTGGCCAGGGTGGGTGCCACCGCCGGTGCCGCGGGCCCCGCCAGCAGCCCGCCCGTGCGGCTGCTGGCCGCGTTGGCCTGGGCGCTGCGGTGTGAATGTTGAAGCGGTGGTGGCGATGCTTTGTGGATTTCGCTTTCAGATGCGCTTCTGCGGCCGTCTGGAACGCTCGTATTAGGAATGCAACTGAAGCTGTGCACTTTTTAATTAGATTCATAACTCAATTCTTTTAGAACAGATTTTTGATATTCTTAGGTTTTTTTTCGGTAAAGTCACGTAGGTAAAAAATTAAAATGAAATGTACTTGATACAGCTATCGTGCTGTGACGGTTCCACCTGAAGACGGAGGCTTGTGTTGCCTCCGAAACGTCGTGATTTTATTTTTATTTTACTTTTATTAATTTTAATTTTTTACCTACGTGACTTTACCAAAAAAAAAACCTAAGAATATGAATCCTTGCAGTCACGAAAGCTTCAAATCTAGAACAGATTTTTGACTTTAGTTTGTTGTCCTTACCCCCGCACTTCCGATTAGCATGGTTGGCTACGTACGGTGCTAAAGAAGTTCAACATACACACGTGCATAGTGTGAGTCATTAGCTCTTGGGGCCAAATATCGCCCACTGCATTGCATTACTCTCCGGGTGCCCAAGCACTGTTGGTTGTGCCGTGGCCACCCTGTCTCTCTCTCCTACGTTTGCCTCTTACCCTAACGTAGCTAACAACTAAAGCACTTTTATTGTTTCAGGTAAGGCCCACTGAGCAATCTGGCCACAAATGATCAGAAGTGATCTGCCTACAATGAAGTGGCTTCATCACGTGTAAATGTATAGCAGCCAAATACTGTAAACGCACGTTTATAAAATGTGGAGGGGTAAAACCGGAGGACCCGGTTTGTAAAGGCTGACGTTGCCGCTTTTGCTGCCATGCGCAGACGATGCCGGTGACGGCTCGCACGTTGGAGACGATGATCCGGCTGTCGACGGCGCACGCAAAGGCGCGCATGAGCAAGACCATCACCCTGCAGGACGCGGAGGCGGCCGTGGAGCTCATCCAGTACGCCTACTTCAAGAAGGTGCCACTTGCGGACATGAGCTCACACGCGGTCGCTCGCACGCGTTCTCTGCAGTCGGTGCGCATGCGCTCGCACGTGCACCGACTGCAGAGAACCACCGCGATCAAAACGTCGTGATCTATTATTTTTCTACTTACGTGACTTTGCCAAAAGAACCAAAGAGTATGGATTCCTGCAGTCACGAAAGCTTCAAATCTAGATTTTTTTTTTTTTACCATGTAAGACTCCACTGAGCTATGTAGCTCTTTTTCATAAGCGACCTGGCCACAAATGGAAACCTCAACGAAGTGGCTCATCACCTGCAAATGTATTGCAGCCAAATACTCTAAACGCACGTTCATAAATGTTGGAGGGAAAAACCGGAGGACCCGGAGAAAAATCCACGCGACCACGGGCAGAACACACAAACTCAAAACAGGGTCGTGATCGAACCCACGACCTCCTGTGTACCAGGCGAGGTAGTTAACATCTCTTAGTCACCGTGGTGCCCACTTTGTACGTATACACACGTACACGGTGCAATCTCTTTTGCTGGCCCCTTGGCGTTTCGGGCTTTTTTGGGCCTTGCGCACAACAACCGTGATGGATGTGAACTCGTCATCGAGGGTGCTGACGCGTCGCTGCGCTCCCACCCCCCTCCCCTCTCTCCCCTGTAAGGTGCTGGAGAAGCAGCGGAAGAAGAAGCGGCACGAGGAGGAGGAGATTGACGACGAGGAAGGTGGCGACGCGAGCGATGGCGAGGGGCTCAACGGGACGAGCCAGAAGCAGAGTGCCCGCAGGAAACGGTACGGCGCAATAGCAGCTTGGGGGGGGGGGAGGGTTGGTTTGTGGGCAAGCGACGGCCAAATCAACGGCGACCTCGGTGTGTTAAAATGTTCACACAAAAATTTACTTTGAAAAGTTATTATTAGTTTTTGCCCCATTTTTCATGCTAGGCGTTTTAATGTAATCCCGAGGCAGTTATTTACCTTGGAAAAATGTAATATCGCGTCCTCTGCATTGGGATTGTTTGGCCATATTCGATTGGACGTATGTTTTGGCTTCGTGTGGGATGAAATCGGCAGCCAGAGAAAAGCCACCACACATACCAGTGGTGACACGCGGCACTTCCACAGTATCTCCTGGCCAGACCTCGTAGCTCCCACGTCCTACCGCCTGCGAGAAGCTCTGGCGAACATGTACGTCATTGAAATGGAACTGGAACAAAACAATTTAAGGAAACGAATGTAATCGATACCGAGGCTCCCCACAAGGCCATGCGAGAGGGCATGTGGCACAGTTTGGTGGCAGCTATCGTAGAGTGCGGTCCTATCCGCGGTGAGTACGATGTCTTTAAGTACAACGGCGCTTTCGCCTCTCTCAATACATTTAACGCTGAACTGCTTGTCCATTCCGAGATTCAGCGGTGAATGAGACCCACCCTGCAACTTGCAGACGTCTCGAAACAGGAAACAGGAAAAGGTATAGAAGGTCCCAACCCTTAATTTACGGAGATCCGACGAGTTTGTGCGCAATTTTGGGTGATTTGTCACGAGCGTATTTCTTACCGTGACCGCTGATGCTTCGTCATTGCACATTCAGCGTAGGCGGCCGCACTTGACCCCCCACGTTTTGGTAATTGCTTCCACATCGAGCGCATTGGACGAATCGAGCGCGGCTGACGGGCCGTCGTCGTGTCTACTGGGACATCTGTGAAATAGAGCTTTGTAGCTCGTCAGATTTCCCCGGGATAAATAGAGAGTCCGATTCCGATTGAATACGAGACGGCGCTTGCTGCCCGTACCCATGGTGGTGTGTCTCCAGGAGGCACCCGGATGGAACGAGTCGCGCGAGCAGGAAGGAACAAACGGGCGGAGAAGACCCCTACGACTTCAGCGACGGGGAGGAGGCGATCCCAGAAAGTGAGAGGCCGTCCGCTCCGCTCCGCCTCTGTGTACACCTTCTGCCCCGTCGCTATTCGCTCGCTATCGGGCGTCTTGGAAAATGGAAAACTAAGCTATACTATGTTTATTTGACGAGGTAAGGCCCACTGAGCTACTTTATCTCTTTCTCAACTAAGTGACTTATACTATGAGACCTCCTTTACCAGTGGCAAAATATAGTAATAGGTTTTTACCCTTTTAAATGGTACAAAAAGTGACACCTTTATACAAGGGATCATGTTTGCAATAACCACAACACAAGCAGTCAAAATGCAAACAAAAAGAAACAACAAGAAACAACGAGTTGATTCTTGTTGTTTGCATTTTGACTGCTTGTGTTGTGGTTATTGCAAAAATGATCCCTTGTATAAAGGTGTCAGTTTTTGTACCAGTTGAAAGGGTAAAAACCTATTACTAAGTGACTTATGTTTAAATTTAAAGCAGCCGAATATTCTAAATGCATGTTGATTCTAAATATGGAGGGAAAAACTGGAGGACCCGAGGAAAGATCCACGCAAACACGGTGAGAACATGCCAACTCCAAATATACAGCAGGCGTCAGGATCGAACCCACGACCACCTGCATACCAGGCGAGGTAGTTAACATCTCGCTAGAACCGCATCTGTTTTACCCTCTTGTTTTTACTGTCTCATCGATATTGGGAAAGCGCGCGTCTTGTTAAGTTTTCGTTTCATAAATGATAATGATGACTTTCAATTTAAAGCTTTCGTGACTGCAAGGATTCATCTTCTTGGTTCTTTCTTTTGTCAAGGCGCCCTTCCTCCCCTAACCCAGCTTAAATATACGCTGCCAAGCTTGGTGGTGTTCATTCAGATGCTGTCTTGCCGACAGACCTGTTCTTCACCTGAGGACGGCTGCTTGCGTTGTGGCCGAAACGTCATGAGAATTGTATTTTATTATGTTTTATTTTTATTATTTCCCTTCTACGTGACTTTACCAAAAGAACCAAGAAGATAATGATGACGTTAAAAATAGTAAATTTTTGCGCGCAGTATTTCACGCGTTTATCGTGAGAATTCATTCTAATCGATGCGTTGTCGCGCTGCGCAACGTGCCACCAGTGCACTTAAATCCACGTGGCTCGCGATAATCGGCATCTGTCCCCTACGTTCACGGGTCATCCCCACCACCTCCATCCCTCCCCCCACCTCCATCCCTCCCCCCACCTCCTCCACCCCCTCACCCCGCCTCCCATCCATCTTCGTCTGGCGTTGCGGTGACTCGATGTACGCATGCATGCTGGTCTCCTTTCGCACACCGTACATCGCCACCCGGGCTCTAAACCGTCGATATTGTCGTTTCGCTCGATCGTCGCAGTCCCGCGGACGCCCAAGACGCCGCAGGCCGCGGGCGACGAGGAGGCGATGGACACGAGCGAGGCACCGGCACCGGAACCGGCGAAGAAGCTCTCGCTGACGGACGACAGGTGCCGTTCCGTGCGCACGCGAGCTTTGCCCGTCCCGAAGCCGCTCGCGCGGCGGTGGAGTTTGGGCTCGTTAATCTATTACACTGGTCAACACACTTTGTCTGGCGTAAGGTATTCCAACGGTCGTAAGGTAATTTTGGAATGCAGATTCCAAATCTGGCATCGGTTTTTGTCTATCACATCAGGTTTTTGAGATATCAAATATTGCATTTTCAATAAAAACTGCAGAAAAAAAATATCTACATAAAATTATATTATAAACACACTATCCTAAAAATACAGCACCATATTTTAACACTAAAGCAGTCACTGACTTGCAACAACTTGCAATCATAAGTGACAAGAGTTAATTTCGGGTAAAATCAATGAAAATGGGGTATGCCGATAGCATAAAAATGAGATGTGATAGAGAAAATCTGAGATCAGATTTGGAATCAGCACCCTGAAATGAGTCTAAAACAGCTGCAAAAGTCCAGGCCAGAAAAAAATGTTTTTTTTTTGTTGACCATTGTTATCGGTTGTGTGTTTTTTTAATCTATCGTTGATTGTCGATGTAATCGTTAATGAAATTCGGTTTAATTTGATGCCACCGCCGTTCGTGCAAAGTCGCAGCTCTGGCAATCGCCGGGGAACCGCAGACCGAGCCGGAAGGCTGCTGCCAGGCGGTGAGCCGGCACCAACAATTGCTCTGCAGTTCTCTGCATATTAAAGAAGCTTTCGGCCAATGAATATTCGTACATGCGGGAGGGAACCAGAGCACCTGGAGAAAAACCCAAGAATGCGAGGGTGCGACACTCTTATCCCACACGGAAGAGATCGGTGATATTCTGCCGGCGAGCCAGGGTACGGCAGCCTCGGTGCCCACGGGAAGGGAGTCTTGCAACGTTTCGTCATTAGTCCGATCCACCAACCCTGGCTGCCTCCTCGCACGGTGCTGGACTCCAGGCGTGCGGTGCCGAACCACAGCAAAACGGACCATTTTCTGATACGCAAATGCATTTTGCTGACGGGTAACCTGTCAACTTTCACACTCCCAATGAAATACTTGTGAAGGCAATCGGATGTTGTAAAGCAATGAATAGCACTGGTGGCCCCTCTAGTAGCCTTTAGTGCGGCCCCTGACGTGCAGCCCCTGACAATAATCAACACGTGACAACACCTCATCGTGCTGCTGCTGTCAAACCCCAATGGTTTCAAACGTGTGGCGGCCCTCGCGCTGAATGATGCGTTAACGGCGAAAGTGGATCCCCCTCTAAATATTAGCGAGGAACACTTGCCGTGAAGCGTTTACCCCGTGCGCACGCGCGTTCTTTTGGTTCCACGCGAGCGTCATCGCGATTTGCGTTTGAATTTCACGCCGCTTCTCCCCCCCTCCCGCCCACCCACAGGCTCAAGGAGTTCAAGGCGGCTCTGCTGGACGTCTTCCGCAAGTCGCACTCGCAGTCCGTGGCCATCCCCGCCATCATGGAGGCTCTGGGCAGCGGCGACACCGCCTTCTCGCTCGCCGAGGTGCGAGCGGCGGTCGCCCGCATGGAGGACGACAACCAGGTCATGCTGTCGGACGACATCGTCTTCCTCATCTGAGCGTTGAGGAGGAGCGCTCCTCGCCATTCACATCCCCATCCCACCTTGCCCCGCCCCCTCCCCCCATTGTCTCTTTTTCCACTGCGCAACCGAGCCAAGCCCCCTACGCGGCTCGCAAACGACTCGTGCTTTTGTTCCCTCCCCCCTGCGAAAGCCGTGCCGTGTGCCGACTTCGTCGTCACGCGATGAACTTGTCGAGACTCCTCCAATTGGCGCGGTTGGCGGTGTACGGCGGCATAGAAGTTTCAACGTAACGCGCGTGCTCGCGTGCCCGGGCGACGCGCGGATGCCTCGCCCTTCGCTCGCAGCGTGTGCCGACCCGACGGTCGTGCGGTCACCGCCACTTGTTGCTGGCCCTGCTTAAGGGGGTCCCCGTCCCCCCCCCCCCCCCCCCAGGTGTATTGTGAGGCCACAGCAAAGCAGGCAGCAGCATACCACGGGGTACGGTGATACGGTGAGGGGTCTTGCGCTGGCTCGGCTCGTGCGAGTCGAAAAGAGGGGTTTGTGTGTGTGCGTCAATTGGACTTCAGACGTTCGTGAAAGGGATGGAGAGGTATCGGGATAGGAGGCGGTCGATGGAGTGTTTGCGTGAAATGTCATCGCCATAGTTGTTGATGATGTGCTCACCCGCTGCAGTTCGGGAGTGAAGGGGGTGGGAGAAGCTACTAATAGTAATACGATATGCAGTCTGTATTACAGATTATGGGCGGGAGGGAAGTGTGAGAATGATGTCTTGTTTATATGCAGGTTAGTATAAAGAAGGTGAGCCCCCCTAAAAATATATATATATATATGAGAGCACAGTCCGTGGCAGTGTGTCTACATGAATTAAATTGTCTTGATTGTGTTTTTTGTACCCACAAACGAATAACGCGAGTGTGAAGCCGCGCTTGTTGGATGTTTTTGGGCTCTTCGACACCCAATTTCTGTACCATTGCACGCTTCGTTTGCATCTTTTTTTTGTTCGCTATGCACCCCCCCCCCCCTCTCTACACGGCAGATATAACCATGGGTCGTTCAGTTTAAAGAGGGGGTTTACCTTTCTCGCCAGTGTTGAAACACCCCCCCCCTCAACCAAAATGTTCCCCATCTCATCAGATCTTGGAAGCTAAGGCAGGGTTGAGCTGGGCTAGTGCCCGGATGGGGGACCGCAACTGGGCACAAAACTAAGAATATATACGACAAGTGCTTGATGATGCGGTAGCTTTTTTAAATGTCAACCTGTCTGCCTGCATGGTGTTATAGCACGTAACTGGAAGCGGGGATGGGGGGGATTGTAGAGTCGAGGATTACATGAATGGATAAAGAAAGATTGAACGGCGAAGGGAAGGGATGCCGGGACCGAAGTTCCCCGAGTCGAACCAAGAGGGAGGGCATGGCTCAAGGTGAGCAGTAGGAAGAGAGGAGTAATGGGCAGGGAGGGGGAGAGGGGTTGGGAAGGAATGACCGGGCCAAGTCGTCTGGGATGAGAGGGTGATGCTGAGAGGACAACGGGGGAGAGAGAAGGGGAGGAGTGAGCTGCACGGAGCGGCGTCTGTTTTCACAGGGGGCGGGGGAAAGGGAGGGACTCGGAGTGTGGGGGTGGCCACAGAAGTCACGTGATTTTCCGGGAGGCTTGAACCGATTCAGATATAAATAGATGTCACTGCCCTTATGAAGTGTTGTATTTTTCACCGTCGACTTTATGCTTGTGAACAAAGTTCGTGATGTGTTTTCTTGCAGTTTTGCTTTTCATCGTGTTTTGTTTTTTTCTCCAAATAAAGCTCACCGTGATTACGGCTGTTGTGCTTCTAACACATTTCACTGCGAAGTCGAACGCCGCGATGTTTGCAGGAGCTCTGAGATGGCCACTTGAGGTAGAACGAGTTGAATTGTGAACGAGTTGAATTGTGATCAAAGGCGCGTGGTGGGTGAGAGGTGATCCACGCTTTGTTTTGTAGAGACAAAAACGTTGATTCGAGAGCATACACAAGTTCGTAAAATTGGGGGGGGGGGAGGTTTAAAAAAACATTTAAGCTTAGATTTGAATCTTAACAAACGTGCTCGTGCGACTTTAAACAACTCAAAAAAGTTGAGTTTCATAATAATTTTTGAACGAACAAAAAAGTTCAGTGGAGGAATGTTTTCCCCGATACGGTGTGGGGGTATGGGGGGGGGGTGTGCGTGCACATGCCAGAGATGGTTTTGATGGTTATGCTGATGGTGCAGTGAGCGGTGCTTCCTGAGTGTAACCTCCCTCCGAGTCCCTCTTTACGCCACCGCGAACTGGCAACGCTGCAAATAGTTCGAGGTGCAGTTAGAACTGGCGAGACGTAATCCTCACTCGCGCGCTTTGTAAATGTAATCATGCGTTGAGTCTTTGTTTGCTGAGCATCCATTTTTCTCACCTGTTATATTTTCAGATGGATGGCTTAAATATGTTTTAATAGTCCACGTTATCTCTATCGTGTGTTATCAGCCTCTCATCACGAGATGAAAAATCCATGCAGATCTCTCGCAAGGCAAATGCACGACCCTTCGAGTTAGAGAACGGCTCGTGGAAGTGGATATCACAGAGCTAACCTCTACGGTATCCCTTCAAGTGACCTCTGGTGCACACAGTGAAGGGCACCACATCATACCTCGTGCTCCGATCCGGCGAGGAGACAGCAGGCGCCGCATTCCACAGCAGCAGCAGCAGGGACATTTAGTTTTTACCACGTGCCAACACGAATGGGGAACTCGTTCTCGCCACCTGTCAGCAAGGGCCGGATTTAAAGTTCTTGTCGGCCTTAAACACTTATGTGATAACTTTCTACAGATGGTACTGCTTTTGCTCCATGTCGCTACTACTGCAGCTGTCCGTGCGCTTGTTTCACGCGTGGGACAATAACAACAACAACGACGACAACAACAGCGCTTGTCTTTTCTTGCACTGCTACTCTCTCTCTTGAGAATGAGATTGTGCGAAAAAAAGCACAATTTGAAGATATTGCTAATTTGCAATGAAGAAATGTCGAAAAGTTCATTTCCGGTGTTCATTTCTCTCACCTTTTGGGGAAAAAAACGATTGACACGACTGCCTCGGTATATACACCGTGCCTATCCTTGCTATATAAATATATTCAAGACGATATCTTGGTTAAAACAATTTTAGCATACAAACAAAAAAACGGTCAAACATTTTTTTCTCGTAGGCCCTTTTAGTTTTCGTAGGATCTACGCACATTGCCTACTATAGCCCTATTGGAGAACACGGCCCCTGCCGTCAGCCGAACACAATCTTGGGAGGCGTAACCACGCCACCGCGTGCCACCAAACCCCCAAAATCTGGGTTTTAGGAGCGAGAGCGGGGAACGTATCTTGTCAAGCCGAGCATGGCGATGTATCCGTGAAAAGTCGCGTTCAGAGTCGCCGTGCTGTGGCCGTTCCCCTACGTCCGTCAGCGGCGCGCGCACACAAACCTGTGGATTGTTATCCTAGCAGCACAAGTAGCTACATATGTAGTAGCTACGGGCCCCGCACTTTCAAGGGCCCCGCGCTAAATGCTTTCAAGCTATCAATTCCGGTTCAGTTATTCTGCACTTGCTCTATTACTATAGTACTATACCGCCTTCAACTTGTATGAACGACTGGATGTTTAAGGTTAGCGATGTGTCGTATTATATGGCTGTATAGCAAATGAAAAAATGCAATTACTTTACTATGCAGGTAAAAAAAAAATCGGTGTTTTAATATTGGTGTTTTTTTTATTTAGGGCTCTTTTATAACTAATGCTACAGGCCCCGCACTAGCTTAATCCGGCACTGCTGTGCGCGCGTTCCAAATCGCAAAAGGGTGACTCGAGCGAGGCTGAACGTACTCGGTTTGGCATTGCGTGGAGTCCAGACTCAAGCTGAGGTGTGGCTCCAAGAGCATATATAGGCATCGTAACGAGGCATCGATTCCTCGCCAGCAGCCATGCTCTTGGAAGATTTATACTGGAAGAATCTGATGAGCTATGAAGCTTTTGTTTCACAGATACCCTATACACCGCTGGTCGAAGATCTCAATCAATCATTGAACTAGTTCCAGCACACGAGCTAATTCCATGGCTCTACCTTAATCTGCCTTGAGGTCGGTAGCCTTCACTATTAACTCCTGCGTTTATTTTCTCTATTTAATGACTTTCTGTGTTCTTCTCACACTATGATCCACTCATCTGCAAACGACCGCACGATGCATGCATTATATAAATCACGGCAGAAAGAAACAAGTTTAGCCGCTCAACGCTTGGATACTTCAATATCAATCGCGACTGACTTGAGTGTGAATCTTGATCAGGTGTGACAAAATCATGATCAAGCTCAACTGAATAAAACCCCAGGCAATGGTTATATCATGTAAGACAGGCAATTCTACAGTTCCCTTTCATCATTTTTAACAGAGATATTCATATCCATAGCAAACCGATTAATTTGCTTGGCACAAATATCTAATTTGTCATGGAAATGGCTGTGTTACTATTTTCGCAAAGGAGGCATCAAGAAGCTTGTTTTTTTTTTAATCTTCCGTGCCAGAGCCCGATTGAATTCCAAGCAACGATTCCCACTGCTGTACAAAGCACGATTTCTTATTTCATGAATATCCAAATAAATATGCAACGTTGAGTCAACGGTTCAAACCACATGCCAATGTTGGCTCAACGCCGAGTTGCTCATTGTAACGGGCATGGGTAAAATGAGCTCTAGGAAACGTCTGAAGGACTGAACAGAGAGAAGGCTGCTATGTAGGGGGGGGGAGGGGGTGGGGGGCTAGAGATCAATCTTGGGGGGAAAACGAGCCGTCGCTGAGGATAGCGAAATGATCACTGGAGGGATGACAAGGGCAGGAAGACAGCGAACAGGGTGCCAGTTACCCGCTCCCTCCCCACTCCGACTGTGCGGATTGACCAATTGTCAAAGGGGGGCAACTTGGGATGTCAACGGTGGGAATGTTGAGTCGACCCGAGTGCAGGGGTGGAGCGCTGTTTGGGAAAAATAAAATAAAAATGTGACGATGAAAAAAGGAACGTCGCAACATGTCAGAAGAATCAAGGTTTAAAGTTATATTTTAAACCACATTTAAAATGTATTTTGTCGCTTCCACGGGTTTCACCGATAGTTGCTTACGTTTCTATTTTTGGTCTTATCTTTCGTGTTATTCTGATTGTATCTTCACTGGTGTGTCAGTGTTTTATTATTACGGAAATAATTAAATAAACTATGTTTATACCTCTGATGTACAGCGCTTTGATGAGATTACCAATGTGAAAGGCGCTTCATGAAACTGAGTTTATTCTTAATGCCACCATCATTGTTAAAACACTGCAACATTGCTGCTCAAGCCACGACGCGGTTTTTGGGGAACGAGCAGCCTGAATAACGAAAACGTAAACAGAACGCAGCGAAACGCGCAAAGGGTGCGCGTTTAGCCCAGACAAGGAAGAGAGGAAAACAAAGACCAGGTCACGAATGCAAATCAAAGACGTCCCATTGACTGCCAAGGGAAGTCGGCGACGCGTCGCTCGCAGGGATGATGGACCAGTCGGTCGTTCGAGACGCGCGATGAAGTTGCAGCCAAAGGAGATGGACGTTCCACTGCTGAGTCGGAGCCATTGGGGATCAACTCGTGGCGACGTTTGAGAGATTCTACCTTCAGCAGTGGATAGATCGTGACCAATGCCGGTTCGGCGATTGGCTATTGTTGCGACTTTGCTGTGGACCCGCGCACAGTTTCACTTGGAGCCACGAGGGGGCGCAAGACACAATTGGTCGGCTTGATGTGGCCCTGCGAAGTCACTCAAGTGCGCCGCATACACATCCAGTAGGGTACATACGCAAAGGCAATCGTTATCAATGTGTACGTGGAATTCTAAGGGTGTTCTAGAACGGCCAACAGTCTGAACATTTGGCACAAATCGAGTCGAGAGAAAAAGCCGGATAAACGAGAATACATCAGGGTGCCACGCTGTCTCGATGTTGACTACCTCGCCTGGTGTACAGGAGGTCGTGGGTTCGATTCCGACCCTGACGACGCCTGCTGCAGTATATTTAGAGTTTGATTGTTCTCCCGGCGGTCGTGAGTATTTTTCTCCGGGTCCTCTGGTTTTTCCCTCCACATTTAGAGACATGGATTTAGAATATTTGGCTGCTGTACATTTCCACAGTGATAAGCCACTTCGTTGGGCTATCAATTGTTGCCAAGTCGCTTCTGAAAAAAGAGCTACATAGCTCAGTGGGCCTTACCTGGTAAAAGTAAAAAAGATGAAAAAATAAGAAGAGGTTTTACACGTTCTGGCTATAAACAGGTGTTCAGATGTTCAAACACCACATAAAAACCTTTTGCAAGGAATCAAGTCTGCATTAACCACACTTACTTGTGGTGAACATGCATACAAACACGCTCTGACAATATATGGCATTATTATTCTTAGGTTTTTTCGGTAAAGTCACGTAGATAATTTTTTTTAAATAAAAGTTAAATTAATAAAAGTAATAATAATTTTCATTTTTTTTACTCTACGTGACTTTAACGAAAAAAACCTAAGAATATGAATCCTTGCAGTCACGAAAGCTTCAAATCTAGAATATATGGCAATGTCTTTGAAACTGATTGGCCTACACCAAAGACAGCCTTCTTTACGGCTTAGTCTCACCAGCGGTGTCAGACCAGAGAACGTCAAAAGGCGACAGTACAAAGACAATGCACACTGTCAGAGCATTTATTGGTCGGGGTGAGCAGTTAACAAAACACTGTTTGCAGCTTCTTGGTTCT